GAGAGTCACAGCGATCACGGCGTCGAAAGCGATGACGGCGTGTCTGTTTTTGAGAAATATGCTCAGGTCTTGCATGCGTCCCGGCGCCCTCTACCAAACCAAAACGGCGATGGCACCTATCTTGAGCAGGAGCATTCAGGGAGCTTGTTCAAGGACCTTCGCGCCTTGGGCTTCAAGGACATTGGTACCCTGAAGGATCTAATCAAGACGAAGGCCAAGGGAGAATACATTGATGACAAGACTATGCTCATGGAGCGCATTATCCAGGTGAGACAAACAACTTGGAGTCTACCTTGAGTGGCATGGATGCTAATTAACTCTTCCGACAGCTTGTCAGCAGCCTCCCAGGGAACTCAAAAACCCGCGTCGACCTCACCAACGCCTTTTTGGACGAACTGTGGGGTTCTTTGCCTCACCCTCCCCTGTCGTAAGTTGAGGCTTGATCTCTGTCCCGTGAACTGCGCTCACGCTAATACCCCGCAGCTACATGGGAGAGGAATATGCCTACCGGTCAGCAGACGGTTCCAACAACAACCCTACACTTCCCTGGCTAGGCGCTGCGGGCACGCCTTACGCTCGCTCAATCGCGCCCCTGACTATCCAGCCCGGTGGTTTACCTGATGCCGGCCTTGTATTTGACTGTCTTTTTGCGCGCGAGAAGTTTACCCCTCACCCTAACAAGGTGTCGAGTCTTTTCTTCGATTGGGCGTCCCTCGTCATTCATGGTTCGCTAGCTCTTCCTAGCAATGTCGCAGCAAAGCGCTAATCAGAAACATAGACATTTTCCAGACCGATTACACGACCCCTCATGTCAACAAGACTTCAGCCTATCTCGATCTCTCGATCCTGTACGGTGATGATCAGGAGGACCAGAACTTGGTTCGGACTTTTAAGGATGGCAAATTGAAGCCCGATACCTTTTCGGAACAGCGGCTCCAGGCTTTCCCGCCGGCCTGCTCCGTGTTGATGGTTATGCTGAGCAGGTTCGCAATACATTCGCTTCCCGACATACAAAAAGCTTTCTAACTGGTCACTAAACAGATTCCACAACTGGGTCGTGGAGGAGCTGGCAGCGATCAATGAAAACGGTCGCTTCAACAAGCCCGATCCTCGTCTCGACGAAGAGAAGGCTAAGAAGGCCTGGGAAAAGTATGACAATGATCTTTTCCAGACCGGACGCCTGTATGTCTTTTTCCAAATTGCATTACTGCAAGCGCATTCCTGACGCTTCCTAGGGTTACATGCGGCCTGTTCATCAACATCACGCTGTACGATTATTTGCGCACCATCGTCAACCTGAATCGCAGCAACAGCACATGGTGCCTGGTAAGTGAACTCTGATCGGAAAGAAACAAGGAGCAAGCTAACCAGCAACAGGACCCTAGAGTTCAGATGGAAGGCACTAAGAGCACCCCGTCTGGTCTTGGTAACCAGTGCTCGGTGGAATTCAACCTCGCATATCGCTGGCATTCTGCTATCAGTGCCAACGATGAAAAATGGACTGAAGAGATCTACGAAGAGCTGATGGGCAAGCCTGCCTCGGAGGTCTCCATGCGTGAGCTTCTGTTCGGGCTTAAGAAATACGAGCAAGAGATTCCGAAGGACCCGTCCAAGCGCACATTTGCCGGTCTGAAGCGCCAGGAAGATGGAACATTCAGGGACGAGGACCTCGTTAGAATCTTGTCCAATGCGATCGAGGACGTTGCCAGTGAGTGTAACTTTTACAAAGTAAATAGCCAATTACTTACCATTGCAGGCTCTTTCGGTGCACGGAATGTGCCCAAGGTCTTGAAATCTGTGGAGATCCTTGGTATTGAGCAAGGCCGCAAGTGGAATGTCGGCTCTCTGAACGAATTCCGCAAGTTCTTCGACCTTAAGCCATACGAGAGATTCGAGGACATCAACTCTGACCCGGAGGTCGCTGACGCTTTGCGACACCTGTATGAGCACCCAGACTATGTGGAGCTCTACCCTGGTATTGTCGCCGAGGAAGCAAAGGAGCCCATGATCCCCGGTGTTGGTATTGCACCTACCTACACCATCTCCCGCGCGGTTCTCTCCGATGCCGTCGCTCTCGTCCGTGGTGACAGGTACTATACTGTAAGTCAACCCAGCATGCCTGTCAGGATCGCTATTAATATGTCTAGATCGACTACAACCCACGTAACCTCACGAACTGGGGATACAATGAGGTCCGCTACGACCTTAACATCAACCAGGGATGTGTGTTCTACAAGCTCGCGATGCGGGCCTTCCCTAACTACTTCAAGCCTGACTCCATCTACGCGCACTACCCAATGACCATCCCCACCGAGAACAGGAACATCATGAAGAACCTCGGTCGCGAGTCCCACTATTCGTATGACAGACCCCGCTACACGGAGCCTGTTCCGAACCTGTTGTCCTACTCCAACGCGCAGTTGGTCTTGAACAGCCAGAAAGACTTCACTGTGCCCTGGGGTGGACTCAGCTCGATCTATGCCGGAAAGGGGGGCGCCGACTTCTGGAGCAAGTCATTCGACAATGAGCAATGGAGAAATAGCGTCAAAGAATTCTACGAGGACGCCACCCTAAAGCTACTCAACGAGAAGTCTTGCAAGCTTGCTGGTAACAAGCAGGTTGACATTGCAAGGGAGTAAGTCGTCTAAACCGAAATAAGATAATGACTATGCTAACGAGATCAGCGTCGGAAACCTCGTGCCTGTGCATTTCGTCTCCAAGGTCTTCTCGCTGCCACTGAAGACGAAGAGCAATCCTCGCGGCATCTTTACCGAACATGAGATGTTCATGATCATGGCGGTGGTCTTCAATTCCACCTTCTTTGATGTTGATCCTACCAAGTCCTTCCCGCTCCAGCATGCAGCCCGCGCGGTTTCCCAGGAGCTGGGTAAGGTTGTGGAAGCCCATGTCAAGTCCATCAACCATCCTGGCTTCCTTCACGGCATCATCGATAGCTTCCGCGATGACCACAATGCCCTGAAGGACTATGGCGATCAGCTAATCAAGCGCCTCTTGGAAAGTGGTTTGGGAGTGTCCGATGTGACTTGGGGCCAGATCTTGCCGGCAGCTGTTGAGATGGTTCACACCCAGTCTCAAATGGTAGGTATCCTATGCAGCAGGTTATCATATGCACTACTGACATTGGAATAGTTCACCCAAATCATCCACTTCTACCTTACCGAGGGCCAGAAGTATCTCCCGGAGATCAACCGCCTGGCCAACGAGAACACTGCGGAAGCTAATGACAGGCTGACTCGCTTTTGCCTGGAGGCTGTCCGCCTGAACGGCAACCTGGGCATTTACCGCGAGGCTCAGAACGACATCAACGTGTCTGATGAAACCGGTCAATACAGCGTCAAGGCTGGTGACAAGGTGTTTGTCGGCTCGGTACGTATCACCCAGACTTGAAACACTGATCATCGCTAATGCCGTTTAGTCGAAGGCAAACCGTGACCCTCAGGCCTTCCCATCACCTGACGAGGTTCGCCTTGACCGCCCTCTTGACTCCTACCTTCACTATGGCCTTGGCCCTCAGAGTGGCCTGGGTAAGGATGCCACCCTGGCTGCGGTGACCGCCATGGTGCGGGTTGTTGTCCGTCTGGACACTCTCCGTCCTGCTCCTGGAGCTCAAGGACAGTTGAAGAAGATTCCCCAGGAAGCTGGGTTCTCTGTATACATGCGGGAGGACCATGGCAGCTACTCCCCGTTCCCGACTAGTGAGTGTTCTTCTCCATTTGTGCATGATTTATTGCTAATCTGGGTTACTACAGCCTACAAAGTCCACTACAACGGCGATGTGCCGGCGCCCAAGCGACAGGTTACGACAGCTTGAGATGATTGAAGATCTAAAACTTGTTGTATGAAGTTGGTAAATGTGTTTTTATAAGTCATGTTTGAGATATCCTTGTTTGTTTGATCAGAATGCTGTATTTCTTCGCAATGTATGCTGGTGCTTTATTTATACCAGCAAGAGCTTTCTGCGCATCACACGTGTGTTATAATGGATCTAGAAAGGTGATTCCATAAATGCTTAACGCTATTAGATTCAGCGCCAGTGCACAACAATTCCTACCTGCTTCCCCAATGGTCTTTGACATCCCCTCGGGTGCAATATAAACCCTGTAGACACAAGATACCAAGCAACAATCACGTCCAATCGCTTCACCGCACTAGGCGCCAGCCCAAGAATAGCCGAATATCCCACCCGCTTATTAACAAGCCATGGGTATGGGCACACGACCCTCTGAACCCTGCACGTAAGTCCCAACCCACACATCACCTGATTGGAGGGTTTGGACATAGCGGCTCGTGCCGTCCGGTGAAAGCCAAAAAAAGAATCGTGAGACTGGCGGGGTTGCATGGACCAGGAGTAAGACAAGAACCAGGATCAAGGACCCTGTGTGGGTGAGTAGCGAATGGAAGACAAGCATAATTGAGTGTCTTCGTGTGACTTGCCCTTTTTTTTGCGTAATTTACTGGGAGGGGATAGAAATCAGCCTTACAAGGTAGGAAGTATTTACCCTTTTAATGTGTCAACCTAAACAGTCCTACAAGGTCGGCAGGTCAGTCTGTTGCCTATTGCGATAAAGTTTCGTAATAGTTGATGTTTTTTCTTCTCGTTTCTTTTCGAAGCAAATATTATTATCCACCGATGGTTCATTACAAAATAACCCACCGCACATGAACCACCAGTGTTTCCAAATGTTCCCACTTTAAACCCACGAAAATAGCTTTAACGTCCAGGGTCTGCGTTTGATCCGGTCTCACCCACGGAAAATACACCAATTAACTAACGAGAGTTCAGGGATTCACCGGGTCCCCTAACCGCCTCAGCTCAGGGGAAACGCCCGGCGCTACTACGGATCTAATCTAGTTAACGTCGTAGCGCTAGAACCCGGTCCATCACTCCATTATTAGGCGCTGTTTGATGGGCGGTGATCGCCCCTCTTGGTCCTGTCCTGTCCTACATAACAGTAGTAGTGAAGTTAGTAGTGAGTAGGCTGTGTCGCATCCTAGTCTAGTCATTTTCGTGCCTTTTTCTGACTGATTGACTGACTGACTGACCCCGGTCCAGGAAAAAGCATTGGCACTTATTTATCGGGGCAGGTGTCTTTTTCTTGTCTTGTCTTTCTTGGTTGTTCATTTCCGATGATAATCTCATCCACATTCACTCTCACATCCACTTCAGACAAGCTTCTCACTTGTTCATCATTTTTGCTTGGTCTTACATCACACACACACACACACCAGATTATTATTATTATTATTATCATCACCATCACGATTATCATTACCCATACTCCAAATATCTTTTCGTATAATCCAAATAAAAACCCAAACACAGAATGGTAGCCATCACCGCCCGCGACCGACCCAAAACCGACTACGAGCGATGGCTGGAACTCCAAGGCTCCGGCTCCGGCTCCAACGACAACGCAGCTGGCAGCGATGAAAAGAAATACCATCCTCCTGGCCCTCTACCTATTCCGGAACATGGTGGTCAAGATGCACATGCAAAAGCAGATGATGATAATAAGCATAAATACACTCCTCACGGCACATTTCTCCATCATGGGTATCATCATGAACGGCCTGGTGCGTCAGCCGACAACAACGACAATCATCCACATCATGCACTACTACCACATCATCGCTTGGATAGATCGTTCCCTGGTGACTATGGAGGTGTTGCGATGAAGTTGGCGCTGCTGGTACTGGTGGTATTGGGGATACTGCGTGCGGTGCGGTTTGTTCGAGGCCGACGACATCAACCTATTCGGTTACAGAGTCCGAGGACGGTGCAGGGTGGGTTTGGGGGGAGGGAAGAGGGGGGCAAGAGGAATTTGGTTTGATTGTTTGAGGGGGGATGGTTCTTTGGGTTATGGGGGATGTTATTGATGTTACTGGTGTTACTTTTGGTTTCTACTATCGGTGTTGGAGGAGTTGGAGGATGTTCTGTATACACCTTGCTTTATTGTACTATCATGTATGTATGCTTTGATATCATATCCCTCATGGTAAGCTCAGAATGCTGCTACGTACATGAGAAACAAAATCCACCTGTCATTTAATGCATACATCATGTTCACAGTCAAAGAACTCCGACCCAACTCAGGATTCAGGATCCTCCATCATAAGCCTAAGCCTTGTCCAAGCCCACCCCAAGCCGACGGGAGCGACAGCAGCCACTCCGCTCAGCACCGACCTCAATCCTCCCTGCTGGTTGGCCCACCTTCATGTTCCCTTCCCCTAGGTAGTCTGTCTCTCTAATCTCTTTCGAGTAAGTAGACTCTGAACTTGGAATGGATCTGCAAAAGGGCCCACTCAATATCAAAGTATCGGTTCGATTGGATGTTCGGGGCGCTTGTGATTGTACTAGTAAGCTGGAGTAGTTCAGGTTGAGAAAGGGCTGGCAATTTCCCGGCTGGAATTTATTAGGGATAGAATAGCATTGTAAAAATCACTAAGTCTGAAAAAGCAGGAGGATAATCGAGTGGAACTAATTACTATTAACTAAACCGGAATGAGTAGTGGTACCGGCGGGGCGAGATACTTAGTGTTCGACCGGCTATAATTAGGGGAGGGGGGGGGATGGATGAGGGCATATCCGTTAGTTTTAGTTACTGTTTGTTCCGACCTGGTCGGGTGTTGCCGTTTTTGTTCGGAGGTTAGTTCTTTTGTTATCCGATGCTGTTTGATACTGCTACTATCTATGCCAAATATTTTTCTCTCAGATGTCACCTAAGTAGCGACGCTATAAGAGCTATACTAATACTTTGCGAATCGTCCACAAAGTCGAGGCTGAAATACCAACAACGTTCGGGTCTCGGCTACAGGTCGATCGTAATCTCCCCGAAGTGTCGCTCTAATCCCCGAGCCATGAAATGAGGTCCTGGCGCAGCATTGAGTGGAGACTACTAGTTAACAGCTGCATGCTAGCAACCACTAACTGTGTATAGAAGTAGCGCTGGACATAGCTAGGATACCGTACATTTGCTATTTCTCAGACCCTGCGTTATTTCCAGAGTCTCAGCCATCACTATTAATTGTATTGACGTACTCATCACAGTCAATGTCACCGAACTCTCGTACATTGAATGCTTTAAACTACATAGTAAGAGCATATATTTTAGAGCTTTTCAAGATGTTGACGTCTATACACTGTATCATGATCTTAAATAAAGCATTTGCCCGATGGCCGCTATTAACCGCCGTACTCGCACAGCATGATCTGGGCCGCCTCTAAAGCGTAATGGACTGCGCACTAGCCATTACTAATCTTTGTCTGCTAAGAACACTTATTATCGCAAATCTAAGCTTAGTCCAGTGCTTTGAGATCGGTGTTCAAAGAGATGCTAGATACGAAAAGTGAAATGTCTTTTACGCACCGGGTGGGACTAGGACAAAACATCATACTCCTTTGGAAGTCGTCATAATCAAAAGTAAGCATGCAATATATACAATAAATGATCCCACTCATAAACATGATCATATCCTCCCCCCATCCACACCCCCCGCCAACTCAAAAACAGGCGGCCTCGACCCCAACTCATAAACAGGAGGTCGTGAACCTAACTCATAAACCGGCGGAGCAGACACCAACTCAGCAACAGGCGGAGCGGCAGCATCTCCCTGCAGCTCCCTCGGATGATTGTTCTTGGATCGGTGACCTATATATGTCGAAGGCATATCATCATCCGCATGTCTCCGTGCGGCCTGTATCCTTCTCGAGATCATAAACCAGATCATGAAGATAATGAGCGCTAAGGCGGCGACACCACCTACTACCCCGCCAGCGATGGCGCCGGTATTCGTTTTGCTTTCTGTGTTTGAAGATGCATTTGCCGTAGGTTGCGCAGTCGCCGATGATAATATCGACGATGATAGACTACTATCTGCTGTCGATGTAGACGAAGATGCATCTGACGTCACGGTAGCAGAAGCAGTAGTTGATGTAGCTACTCCCAGTTAATCTCAATTCATCAAGTCAAGCAGCAGCAGCAGGAAAGATAAAAAAAGAACGTACACGAACTCGTCGTCGAAACCGGCGACAACAAACTAAACTCCGACCCCAACGTGGAGACATCATCGGTACAGCCCACGAACCCATTCGACACCCTTGCAAACGCATCCAGCCCTCTCGAGCAACAGAAGTAATCATTCTCATAATACAGAATGGCCGAGGTATTCCCGCAATGCGGATCCAGTTTGAGAATGTTGCCGCATGCTGCGGCAGAGTGGCAGCAGTTCCCGGGGGCGCAGGTGGCGCCCTTGGGACAGCATTCGCGGTAAGGACCCCAGGTTGAACCGCAGTCGTTTTCGGTGTCGTAGCAGGTGCCGTTACGGCGGACGGGGTAGCCGAATGGAGGGGCGAGGTCGTTGCTGTTGCTGTCGTTGGACATTGTGATGTTGCTGTTGCTGTTGCTGTTGCTGTTGCTGTCGGCTAGAAGAGGCAGAGGGTAGGGGATGTAGGGGTAGTCTGGGGAGGGGAAACAGACTGGGATATTTGATTGAGTTTCATGGAGGGTAATGATCGTTGAAAAAGATGGAGATGGCTTGTTTTTCAGAGCATGGTTCTTTAGTGTTCCCTCTTGGGTGGCTCGGCGGCTAATGGTTTGCTACCTCTGGTGTTTCGTGTCTTGTGTTTGGTCTGGGGGCCATATCTGTCTGCTACGCCGTTCGGAGTTGTTAAGCGCCCACTTCTGATATGGCCAATGACTATCTATCATGGTTTCGGGCGAATGACAAGTGCTCGGACTTAGTGATGCTAGAATTGGCGCGCACAAGAGCAAATACTGAGCTGGGTAAGGCTGTATCCGCACAGTGAGAGTGAAGGCGGAGTGGATGGAGCAGCGTTGCCATTTTCTTCCCTTCAAATAACACTTCGTAGTAGCAAGGCAGATTGATGGGGCATCATATCGACGAGTGCTTCATGATCCTTGTTAGTGTGTGTGGACTAGACGAGTAGTCACATTGCTAGACTCCACCGCCTGTTAACGTACTAACTCCCAGCCGCGCCGGCCTCCCATGTTATGCCATACAGAACTTGTCTTTTGCGAGCCGAGTATCAAGTCTAAAGATAATAGAGATAACAAATAATCTTGATAATTTTTTTCTTTTCTTTTCTTCTTTGTTGGCTTTTTTAGACCGTTCCAAGAGAATACAAATAATATATAAATATGTAGAGAAATATATACTATTCTAGTTCAAATATATCAATTCTGAGATGGGGAGTTACATAATAGCTCTTTGAATGGCTCTGGACCCGAAAGCTTCACTACAAGAATCTGGATTTTTGGCACACTGAATTGGGCACCAAGTATTCGCTCGAAAGAAACTTGAATCTCCGTCATCAATGAGAAATATCGGGCTCGTATATTGCTCCCACGCTGCTGAATCTTTGGCACCCAATGTAGATACCCATAAGTCTCGAGTTGCTCGGGGCCGCATACACCTTGTCGCTCCCGCCCTGCCGGGTAGTGCACTCCACAGCTGCTTTATCCTTACACCATACATCTCGCCAGCCATAATCCATAGCCGTTTCCGGGGTGTACGGCGATTCTAAGGCGAGACTAAGCCTCTGGCATTTGGGCGATGCGTTGTGCTCGACCTCGAAGTCAATTTCAACCAGCTCAGATCCTGCGACTGTAGCTGACATGCCGACTATAATATCATCCCGTGCAATATGAACGGCCTGGCAAGAGTCGGTGTTCAAATCGCCCGTGCTTGCCATGACGCCTGAATTATAGACGAAGAGCAGTCCAATGATTGCGCGGCCTCGAAAGTAGGCTTCGATGGTGACTACCCTTTCGGGGCAGGTACTGTCATTCCGCGTCTCGAAGTAGAGCTTCCGCACCAGGTCAAAAGGGGGAGAGACTTCTGGGACAAGTAGTCGAGGCCTCCAGCTTCTGTGCGGAGAATTTACTGCTCGGACGCGGTCCGAAGCTTCGTTGAAGATCCATGAGATAGCTGTTAGTTCCTCATCGAAGCAACGTTGGTATTCATTCCGTATCATCCCAGTGGGAAAGGTATGAGTGTACGGGGAACGGAAAGTCACACTGCGCGCACATGTTGTTTCGAAGCGTATGGCTGCGACTTGACCCACTGCCAACCCCGGAGACTCGGAAGAATAGCCCAAGGGAGCGATCCACACGGTGACTGATTGGATTTCTTCGTCCGGTGATATATCAGACCCATCTTCAAGTCCGTTCATCCACTGTCCAACAATGGCTGGACTGGGATGGTTGTAATACTCAAGCTTCAGGCCAGAGATGCCATTTTGGGGGCGGGACCAACCCGTTATGCCAGCGGATGCCTGAATCTTACGGATTCCCTTTAGTGATGCATAGCTTTAATAGTTACCTGAATTGCTGCCATTAATAAAATGGGAGAATTTCTCGTCGTAACGAATTTGATCATCCGGCACCAGATGACATTCTCGGTCTAAGATGTGTGGAATTGTGGATGGTTCGTCACAGAATTGTGATTGGATACCGACTCGGATAAAATGGGTTCCATATGTCTGTCACCTGCTTAGCTATTGCTCGAACTAGTTCATGAAGCTTCACCTACCTTCTGGTGGGCAACAAGCCCTGTGATGAAACGGCCAGGCGGCAAGCTTGGTATTGGTGTAACAGATGCTTCGAGCCGATAGGAAAGGGGAGCCAGTATGATAGACCTCTCATAGTTAGTTGACACCTTGACAAGGTTAGCATGGTGCACAGATTGGTGGGAATAAGAAAGACAGACCTGTAGCCCACCAAGGCCTTCAGAATGATAAAAATCACGATTATCTTCCACGATGCTTATCCCGCTGATACGTTCACCACTTGGGCCATTGATGGGAATCGAAATGGCACAACCACCCGTAGAACCAAAGAACACCGACTTTCCGTCGGCGTAGTGATAGCCAATGCCGATAAGAGGGTGCGGGTAGGATGTCATGTGAAAGTCTAGTCGGATCAACGACATGAGACATCTACCTCCTGGGCCACCGAAGTCAATATTTGACAGCGGTTCAAAGGCACGGGGTGGCTCAGACGGTAGAAGGAGGCTGACAAGCAAGCCTTCATGCATGGGGGCATGGGGAATCCACAGTTGCGAAGGCGTGTGGAACGGCTCCTTTACGTCCGAATGAGTCCGATGCAAAGAGCTTTGATGGTCGTCAATCCATTCAGCAAGGCCAAGTGAAACAATTTTAAACCGGTCTATGTCCGCAAGCAAGTGGTACTGATCTTCTCTTGTCGGAATCTGCAGTGTTCCTTGAGCAATGCCTGGGCCGCTGCTATCACCAATCCAGCATGATGAAGCAGAGTTATCGTATTGTAACTGGATACCCACCAAGCCTTCCGAGCAAAATGCCACGCGAAGAGCCTTGATAAGCAGGTTTGTGGGCATGTCTATACACGTTTCGGCAGCTGGATTGCGATAACCAATCAATCGACCAACATAGTTACCTTCGTCCGACGGCAATATATTGATACCAGAAATAAACCGGCGTGCGCCGATATTGACAGTTGATATACCAATGCGCTTTTCATGTTCTTCCTGCGGGACCATGAAGGGCTGTGCCTTTCGATAGAGCACACGACATCCCTCATGCAGGGGGCAATCTTCATCAATGTATGAGAGCTGACCTGAGAAGTAGCCCACAACCTTCGCTAGCCGCGGGCCCGCCTGGAGACTTTCTATATCAACCAAGGTGAAGTTGTTCCCTCGCATTGTCGATGGACAATAGTCCAGTCCGCCGGGGCCGCGTCGAAAAACGTAGTCTAGGTCTACAAGAGAGGCGATGGGCTCCAGTAGATCCCGGATTCTCTTTCGATTGACCAGTGGTAGCGTGGCAGCTTTTAGAGATGTCCTTGTGGCGAAGAAAAGTCTGAGCCAATCTTGTGATTCTGAAAGACAAGGGAAAACAAAGTCAGCCTCCTGGCCGAGAAGGAACCTACTCCGCCAATAAAACCGTGAGAGCATAGACATATCTGCGAGTACCGCTAGATCGTGGCATACGAGTCTTAAAGTGAGATGCTGTTCAAGGGGTACATATGATAAGATCTCAAGCAGCAGCTCAGTTGAGAGGTTGCTAAAAGCATGGTACCCCCTCTTTCCCGCCTTTGCAAGGCTTTCTACTCTTGAGTTACCATGCGACAAGTTTCGCCGGGACTGCTCCCCAATTCCTCAGAAGCAGAACTGGAATCAGTCGGATAATTCATAACCGAAATTGCACAGGGGTCAGCATAAAGATGGCAGACCAGATCCACCGGCTGTATCCGCCCGAACACTTTATGTGTTTGCGCAGCGCCCGCATAGTCATGGCCGAAGTGGAAGATGGAGGCTTCGAGGCATGGGGTGCAGTAGAGTTGGTAGAATACCATTTCGGCAATTGCGGCGTCAGTCTGTGATAGCGATCCGACTCGCCCATGGTTGAGCCTCAGAATGAGCAATTTCCAGCACGACTCGTGAAATCCAAAACATCATTGGCTATCCAATTGTTCGCAAAGCCTCCATTCATCCAGGGCGTCAGATGCTACATCGCCGTAGACTCGATTGCTGTCCAGTGGTGCATGGAGGGTTTTCCGACCGCGTACTACCCCTACTCCAGTAGCTTTGATGTGATCAACGGCAGGATTGGTCGAGTAGATACCCCGAACCTACGCGTACCAAGGACGTTCGCTGGACTGTGGAGTATCCGGACCATCCCAGTATGGGTCGGGCAGCAGAATCACCCCACAAAACGGACAGTAGACATTGGATACCATCTTGCGAGGTGGCACCCTTGTGCCTTTCGTAAAGGGGTAATTGGTAATCTAAGAGCCTGAATGTTTAGTGCTTCAGGAGAGGGGCAATAGATACGTCTGCTAGTTGGGAACATGTTGGCGGAATAGTAATGAGGTTGCGTGTGGCCGCTAGAAGTTATGGGCTGGTTATTGGCCCAGAGCTCACGTTATATTACTTCATCAGCGTATGGGCAATAATGAGTAGGCTATTATATCAATGAAACCTCATATTCCACATTCCGACTGCCACTTTTGGTGGGTAGCTCACAAATAGCCATACTAGTGATGTTATAGCACCATGTCTTATATACTATAACTCAAAAGATAGTATATAGAAGACAATACCTTAAGCCTCCGACCCTCCCTTCATGACCCAAATCACATCCCAACTCAGTTGAAAGCTAATACCACCATTACCCTCTAATTCCCACACCGATTCACATCGCAATTAACACAGCACCGCTTGGCCGGTCCATGGAACACTTCCTCCTCTGTCTGGACGGCTTCACGCTTATCGTTGGCTCCGCATCGCGCATAGGGATTGTCGCAGAGGATGCAGCATCGTTTGGCGATGGAGGAGTCCTATCCATATGACATTGATCAGTATTTCCATGAATCAAGTCAAAAAGGAATAGAAAAGAGGAAATATTATAATAGTACCTGGTTACTTCCAACCGGACTAGCCAGCGCAGCCGGCAGAACCGCCAACGAGAGGAAGGTGATGATGCTGGAGAGACGCATTGTTCGATTCCTTTTCGGGTTTGAAAGATATGATTTAGTAAACAGCTCAAAGAGAATGATATTTTGCTCTGAAGTTCTATTTTCTCATTCCTACCGACCATTCACCCCAATTTATACCCTCACTTCCCATCTACTACTTAACAACTTCTGTCCTGATCCGACCTCGGTCCCCCTCCGCCCGCGCAGCGCAACCAACCACTCTTGGCACATTGCCATGTCTCAGAGCAACTGGATCCATCAAACCAAGGCCGGACTAATAAGCGATCAGCAATGTAAATTGCATGTTGATCAGATAAGATAATCAATCATTCCTTAGCGCAGGGTCTCGGAAGCATACCCCCTTTATGGTGATTCTGTGACGTGTGTGTGCGGGATATGTGGATCCCTCTTTGATTTTTTTCCTATGGGAGGAGTGTGTGGGTTGTTGATTAATTTCTAGATATTACTAGTACTAATAATATCATTCTCGTACTCATGCACCACTCCGGGATTAGGGTGTTTGTCTGATGGGATGGAATGGAATGGAATGGTTGTCTGATTCGGGAGGATTTGGGGCCGTGATAGATTGATTAATCGAGGTTCATACTATTTTATGAGTATAGTCTTAGTTGAATATATTAGTATTTCCTATTTGCAACTTCTTCTGCTATTTGATATGGAATTGGGAGATTATCTAGAGTCAAGTCATGTCGGTGTTTAGTGAGAGGGAGTAAGTAGTGTGGTGACATTGAGGTATGACTATTGAAATCAGTCTATATACACCTAGAAGTCCTTCATTACCATCTTATCTTTCTTTCCTCGATAACTGCTTTGTAGCTTACTTAGCAGAAGCTATGGATCCCTGAATCCACAGTAAAACAGGACCCATATCGCCACCCTTCTTTCCCCAAATAAGGTAGTATTAATTGTGGACCAGATACCTGGTACTCAAGTAAACAAATCTATACAGCATCTAGTCTACGATATGCTTTTTTCTGAACAGAGTTACTACTACTAATATACTTTGAGATATGCTAACTGCCTAGTTCATTACATCTGAATGCAAGTATCATTAACGAGGAAATTTCATTAAAAGAAAGTGGGTTTTCCTTCACGGCTAGTATGTCTGTACATTAGGAACATAACAGTGTGTAATATATGGTGTTGAGTTATAAATGCGAGATGATTTGCGTTGATAGTAATTGATGGCTGACTTCGATGCGTTATGTCAATGATAAAAAGTTCATACTCTCAATAGTATTCACCTTGTAATAGGGTAGTATGTTTTCTTGTGTGATGTAATAACAAGGAAAGGTCCAAACTAATAGGCAGATATGCTATATAAATACTCATTTCTCATTATCTAATAGCAAACCTCCAAACACCATTGCTGCAAGCCCCTGTTGTAAAACTGAAGCAAATCAAGCAATAAATCAAAGCAACAAGCAAACAAGACAAAGTATACGCTCTAATCCGGTCATAGTACATACATTATAACATACAGACATGCATACATAGAGACATCGTGACTAGCTGCTCGCTGCTTACGACGTCGCTGCACTCGCCCGCGCCGCATTGCTCAGCTGTCGATGATACGAGCCAATGGTTTGGAAGCCCCTGTTATACCAGGTTAGTTAGTATACTGTCTTCCCCGAGAGGGAAAAGGCATGGAAGGCACCCACCTCGCCAGGTCAAATCCGCTCCCCTCCTCTTCATCGTCCTCCTCGTCAGGTCGCTCGTTCTTCGTCTCCGGTTCACGGCGTGGTGGCATGCGGCCAGTCGTCATTCCATTGGCGGTGCCTGGCTTGCTGGGACTGGCTAGGTTCGGTGGTGGTGGACTGCTGCTAGGGATACTTCCCAGTCCATCGCCCAATTCGCCCTTCAGTGGGCTCATGTCTGGCACGGGTCGGGCCGGCGTGCTGCCAATGTCTGCGAACTTCCAGAACTGCGCAGGAGAGCTCATGGGCATAAATTTGGATGGAATCTGTGCGGTACTCGGCGGAGGCAGTCGTGGCTGCTGGCGTTGCGGTGCTGGCGTGATCATCGATGATGGCCCGTCATCGTAGTATGACGATGACAGCACAGGCGGGGATCCGGCGATATTGTCTGACAAGCCATAAGTCCGACTTAGACTGGTGCCGTTGCTGGTGTTCTTTGTGGCGGATCGCGTGGGCAGCGGGGATGGTTCCTCGTAGTCGCGGGTATTGGAAGGTCGCAAGGGAGCTCCTGCACCATTGCGGGCGGCACGGGAGCCTCGTTCGGGAGTATACGCTTCAATTGGTGCAACCGGGAATGAGCTGAACCCAGGAGACGACACCGGTGGGGACTTCTTCGTAGCCGAAAACACGGCCTCCATGCCGTTGGCGCCCCGAGCGGCGGGATCCCTCGTGGCAGGTGACGACGGGGCGGACGATTGCGTTCCCTTCCGCAGCTGCTTCTTCCAGTACTCTTCGCGATATTCCGGGGCAATCTGCCATTTCATGCCTTTGCCGGGTTCGTCTGTCCGTCGGGGGACTTTCTGGAAGGCCTTGTTCAAAGACAAATTATGACGGATGGAATTCTGCTACTTGTCAATATTTCCTCTTCAACATGGAAAAGGGTGTCTCACCTGCCAACCGCTCTGGGAGTGGCGGTAGAATGCGTACTTGTCCATGATCCAGTTGTAGATACTGTTCAGCGTGAGTTTCTCCTCTTCGCTCGAGAAGATCGCCTGCGCAATCAACGTCGCATAGCTGTATGGTGGCTTCAAGTCCTTGGCTGCGTCCTTGCTATAATCGATCTCCTCGGTACTCTCCATCATCATACCGCGGTTATAAAGCGGCGACTGCTTGGCCGTGCGCGCTCCCACTGTATCGGGCGACCGCGGGGGCGGCGTCACCTGACGCTTGAGGAACTGCGGTGCGGGAGCCAGCGAAGGGGCGCCAGTCGTGGCGGGGGCTGCATCCGCAGTAGCGGCAGTCGAGGGAGGCTGGGGATGAGCATGCTGGGAGGCATCCCAGGTAGCCACATCCTCCTCTCCATTGGCGAAACGCTGGGCGCGTTCCACAAAGGTGGGATGAATATTGGCTTTATCGCCGGGCGTGACAAACATCATCTGGGTGTTGGCGATCTCAATGATATCACCACACGAAAGAATCGCATCGGTGCCGCGCTTGAGGATCGCACTGTTCAAGCGTACGCCGTTCCGACCATTAACGCGAATGTGCCAGGACGCCGTTTCCTCGCCATCATAAAAGATCTCCGCGTGCAGGCGTGACACGAACTTGCTCGGTCCCAAATCCACATTTACCTCCGGCAGCGCGCGGGCGGCGATTGTAACCGGGCTTGACTGTTCATCCAACTTTTGTTCGCGGTCGGGCTCGCGGCCGATATTGACGTGGAGGGTTTTGACGTAGTAGGTCCAGTTTCGGCCGGCGATTTTGGCGTAGGCGCGGATGCTCTGCTTATTTTCGGTTTTCGCGTTGGAGTGATCACGGAGCACGCGTACTTCTTCGCGGGCGGTTTCCAGATACGAGATCACCATATCCACCAAGTCCTGGTTTTCCGACAGTTCCTGATCGGGGGACGAGTCATCGGCTTCATCGGCAGATTCCTGCTTCACGGGTCGAGGCTGGGGAGAGGCACGGTGATCAATCTATTTTGGTCAGTCAACATCTGCTCCTCTGAATACACCGCTGGGGTCCCATCAACTACCCACCTTGCGCTTCTTGTTGGACGGCCGCGTCGGGGATGAATCCGGAGCCTCCGCGTCCGAGGTTTCCTGCAGCTGGATTTCCTTGCGCCGCGCGCGACGACGGTTGGAAAGTGGCATGGTGGTGGTTAAAATGGGGCGATCGCAAGACCGGGGTCAGCGTCGAAATCCTCTGATCTGTATCGTCCGTAGTCTGGTCGCCAGCGTGGATGTCTAACGGGTCTAATCTAGGAGCGTGGTGTGGGTGGTGATGTTGAGGGTAGAGTGTTGGAAGCTAGCGGTCGTGTGTGTTGACGTCGAGTCGCAGGAAATCCGCGGCGAAAGCAGACCAACCGTGATGAGCTCAGCCGGAACAGAAATTCACAGACAAATGATCGGCGAGAAAATGAATGACGACCGAACGAAAGGCAGGCGAAAATCCAAACCCAAACCGGGATGGCAGGTCCAGGCAGCGAGAACCAAGGGAACGTTTGCCACTCGCGCAAGACGGACGCGAACTGAAGGAAGAGGAAGTGGAAGTGGCTGACTGATGCAGACGAGAAAAGGGCCAGCCACCGCGGGGAGAGACCCGGTCGCGAGAGAGTTTGGTTCGGGTGTGATGTCGATCGGAACGGAGTAGTCGATGGTAGTAAAGAGTAGGTAAGGACAAAGGGATTGTGTAAGACAAAGTGATAGGGAATTAGATTGTGGTAGGAGTTGAAAAAGAGCAAAAAGACAACTCTAGCAGTGTAAAATGCAAGAGAAGCAATGAGAAAGAAAAGAAGACGAGGAAGAAGATTGATGGACCAGCAAGTTGCAACGCAAAAGCAACGGCCGTGAATGGATTGCACGCAAACGCGCCGCGGGTTCAGGTTTGGACCAAACAAGATCAAGCGTGACCGCTTCCGTGTGGGGAACACGCCGAAGAATGAATTCAATCACCGCCAAACTTCTGTCTCTTTTTGATTATTATTTTCCTTGTGCTCAGCTGTCGTTTTTCAACACATTCATGCCAGTTGTTGTTCGGTCTCGCTCATATATCGCCAAATTAAGGTTGATCGCCCTTGTCCGATCTGGATCTGAATCAGTACCATTCCGTTCCAACTATTTCCCCATTCTCTCCTTTCTCTCTTTCTTTCTTTCTCTAATTAACTAACCTCCCCTTTCCCATTATCGAACCTCCCCGACCGCAGTAGATCCCCGTTTTAATATGTATGTCCACCAGTGGAGGCTGCCGCAACCGCCGTAAACAGGCAGTGGAGCCCACCAGCTGCATCCCTCCCAATGCAAGGATGCAGGCTGGAAGGAAGACCACGGCCTAGCCGGGTGCAGTTGCTCGTGCTGTTGGTGCTCCTTCTTTCTTTTTTCTCTCTCTTTTCCACCGCCTTCATTCTCTCCCCTCGAGAGATAAGTATTTAGTTACTGTGTATCAGTGTCTACAAAGTGTCGCATGTACCTGTAGCTACAGCCAGCACCCAACACAAAGATTTCAGTCATTAAAAATAATGACATATCCACAATAATGTCCATGTCACCATCAGCCTTCCGGCTATGATCGGAGTCTCCGGAACGCCCTTGTTTGGGACAACCATAAATGCTATGGCTGAGAGAGAAAGCATTCATCGGAAAACAGAGCAAGTGACTGGCCGACTGGCATCCTGACAGGGTTCCATTTCCATTCTTCCCCATTGGGGAAAAAGCATCCTTCGGCCTCCTTCCCTCTCCACCGGATCAGGCAAGGTGAAAAAAGCATCATCGAGGGCACGTTCGAACCCTGCTGATCCATGTCTGCGAGGGTCGGATTAACGTATCGCCTCGTCGCCCATCGCTGCCCCTGCGCTTGATCCATCCATTTCTCAAAACTCTCCGCTGCGCTGGTTGCGTCATGCCTCTCCGCGTGCGGTTTAGTGGCCCGCCATCGGAATGTCTGCCAATCTGGCCCTCCATCGCTGCCTGCCCGACCCAGCGAAAACAGCCTGTGGCACTACGCACTTGGGAACTATTTGTTTGTCTACAATTTACGGGATTGAGCTCAACAGAAACAGACGTTGTTTGTCTTTGAATGAGAAGATAACTAGCCAGATGGGACGCCATTTGGATTCGGCGCCGTGTCCCATGCATTCCGCGGCGCCATCCATACACACACCTCCAACAGAACTCCGTGTTAAAAGAAACCGCAAGGAATGAGAGAGGAGACGTAAATGAAAGGAAGTAAATCCCAGGGCTGGGCCCACATATACACGGCCCAGGGCCCATGGGTGTAATCACACTGCGTTACCACGTGCACGTGGACAGGGAATCAAACTAGCACCCAGACAGTTCGTAGCAACCGGAAGTACTCGCTCCGGAAGAATCAAATATAACAGAATATAAGCCCAGAGAGAAAGAAGGAAATATTGTCCAGCAAACAAGCTAAGGCATCTTCGAATCGCCATCTTCATCTACCCCACGTAGTGTCGGGTACATCACCACGTCACCTGTCTCCGGCTTCACAGCCGGTTCCTCGGCCTTACTTGGAGCCTCTGTTTCCACTCCTTCCATATGAGTATCTGGGTTGGCCTCCGGTGTCTGCTCATGAGTGCTGCTGTTGCTGCTGCTGCTGTTGCCGCCGCCAGCCTCGTTGTTCTCAAACTCGCCCCGTTCCAGCCGGGAAGCAATGTAGTTACGCAGATACTCAATCAGTCGCACCTTCTCCACCCACTGTACATCTGCCCGCTCGGCCACCTCCGTCGCAGCCTGGGCGGTCCGCAGGGTTGCCTCAGCTTCCGCAGCAGTGCCCGAAAGAGCCGGGTCGATCAAGCTAGCAGAGATGCGCTCGGGTGATGATGGCGAAGAGTTTTCTTTGGCCTTAGGAGTACGTTCACCCTCATCCTTGCTATCCTGGGTAAGGTCCATCTCCTCGCTCAACTGACGAGTCTCTGGACGAGCGCGCTGCAGCGTGCCACCCGTGTACCGGCGGCGATCATCGTGGTCGAAGATGCCCCCGAGGGTAGACGGCGGGGCGGTACTCGAGGCGGTCGGATACCCGGCCGCCATGCTGTCAGCCATTGTAGCGGACGGCAGACGAGGGTACATGCTACCTCCTTCATGGTGAGGCGGCGAGACCCTTGTCGCCGACGGCAAGGAGATAGGGGAGCGACCGGAGGTGTACGACTGAGCGCTGGACGGCGGCGTGAGGGCGGGAGTACCTGTGGAAGGCGAGTGGGTGGCAGGGTTTGGCATCATTGAGGCAGAGCTGGTGGCTGTCGCATGGCTGGGCGGCAACTGGGTGGGAGGCGAGTGGGTGGTACGGTAGCTCATGCCACCATGAACGTAATGAGCGCCCGGCTGGGCAACGCCAGCAGCAGCCACATTGTCGTCGTTCTCATATATAGTATCCTGCATCTGCTGCAGGAACTGATCGATATTGATCAGATCGTTCTTGGTCCGCACGTTACTCATGGGCGGCAGGTGGTAGGCCGGTGCGGAGGGAGCACCCCCGGGGCTGTATCCGCCACCACCAACGGCCACTGGCGCAGGCATCGGCTGGTACTCAGGCAGGGGCCCACTGCTCAACACAGGGAGCGACAGACTCTGCAAGCCCAGCAGACGCTGGCCGACGGCAGCATAGGAGTTCGGGTCGAACTGACGCCGTTTCAGGTCGCCAAAGAACTCATTCAGGGCATCGTAGCCGCGCTTCTTGGATTCATAAGAAGCGTGGGTAGCCTCTGGGCCGTGGTTCAGGGCGTAGTAGACGTTCCCGTAGGACGGATTGGCAGGCTGAGGGGGAGGGTGAGATTGGTAATACTGGGGAGCGCCATGCGCATAGCCCTGGCTGGGGACCGCGTTCAACGCGGGCTCAAAATAGTGCGTAGCGGTCGCATAGCCTACATCTCGTGTCAGCCGGCAGTGCAGAACAGTCAGACTGGGAAACGCTTACCCTTGGCACCTCCACCGAACATCATGTCCGGATTCCGGGCTCCAGGCTCCGGCGACCGGACCAGGACTGAATCGTCGGCATGGGTCTTGACATGCTTCTTCAAATCCTGGGGGCGCTTGAAGGCTTTTCCACAGAAATCACACTTGTGTGGTTTAAGCGGTACATGCACGCGGATGTGAGAGGTGATGTGGTCGCGCTTGACAGTAGTAGTGCGACAGCTGCCCCATTGGCAGGTCAGGTTGAGGTTGTTTGTGCTCTTGCGGCCGACGTGACGCTCGCACACATGTTCCTAAGCCGAGGCGGTCAGCTACCCCATCCAAACGAGGATGTGATGAGTCAAGCCAACACGTAGCCCACTGTTGGTGGACTGTATCATCACGTAGAGATATAGAATAGAAAAACAAGGAGAACTCACATAAAGAGCTTCAGGGGACGGGCACTTCTCCGAGCAACCCTGCCACAGGCAGGACAACTCTTCAGAAGGACGAGTGGTGGTGCCGTTCATGGGGGGATTTGCCACGGCAGCCGAAGCAGCCGCAGCCGTCGCGGCCGCAGAAGCAGCGGTCGCAGAGGATACCTGAGCAGGTTGCTGAGCTGAAGGAGAATCCTGGGAAGTTGAGGTAGGCATGGGAGCGGCCGTCGTCGAAGGGGCCGTCGTGGTGTCTTGGGGTTCCGACATTGCCAAGAAAAATCTTTCTTGTCCCTTTCTTGGGAGCAGCGGAAGTAGAAAGCAACTCAACACAAGTCCGCCTCAAGCGTGCAAGGGGAAGAAAAGATGGGGAGACCCAAGACTCTTGGTGCTAATAAAGGGAAAACAAGAGGATCGACTACGACAGATGGCGCGGTGAGGGAGTGGCGGACAAGAATGGACAGATGCGCACACCGACACCGGATATCTGGAAAAGGGAGAGAATTGGAATTGGCCAGGAGGAGGAAAGGCGAAAGGAAAGGACAGCGAAAGTGTTGTTAAGATCACGAAACACAAATGGCAAATATGAGCAAAGAGAAATACGGGGGGGGGGGATGTGAAAGTAATAAGGGAAACTAACAGATTGCCGGACCAGAGGAAGAGGAACAGCAGAGAATCAGGGGGGGAGTAGGGGAAGGGAGGAAGTCTTGGGCCGAGAGGGGGAGGCTTGGGTTCAGAGCCGAGCCTTGCCTAGAAAAGGCCGCTTGCACAGCCGGGCGGAAGACGGGGACAAGACTGGCCAGGATGACAAGACGCGACAAGCCTGGAGGCCTGGGCACCGGCCGGGCCAAGAGGCCGTGCGGGGCTGGTGGCGTGTGTGTAAATGTCTGCCTACCCTTTTGTGACTCTTCAACTTCGGCTGCTATTACTGCGACCACTACAAATGGCTGTTATTTGCTATACAGGTCAGTCCACCCATCTTAATACTTGATATGAACACAAGTGAAAGATTATTGCATGTAAAAGTACCTGCACACATAGCGCATGGTTCCCCTCACACAACCCCAGTCAGTAACCTACTAGTCTCACTAGTAGTGCAATAACAGGCCGTCAAATAACGCAGTGGGCTTATTACTAGTAGTAGTTAGCGACCGTCTCAATACGGTAATTATACACCAACAATCCCCTGTCATCCACTCAAAAACCCCGCGCCGACCGATTGCATTTTTGGAAATCCTTTGTTAGTCATCCCCCATCATGACATTCCAAATGTCTCACTCTCTTGCCCGTCTTTCCTCAATTTTCAGGCACATGGATCGGTAACAGACCATGTGGTGGACTTCTTCTTTCTGCTCGGAGGAACTGCCACATTGCCTTGCAATGCCAATAAATCTCCTCCACCCGCTTCTTCACGTTCTTCTCTTTTTTGCTCTCCTCCCCCTCTTGGCACCTTTCCCGCTCCGTGGATGAAGTCTTGGAAGGTCACATCTGACCGTGGTACGATGCCTGAGTTGGTCAGGTTTCCTCTTAGTCAGAATGGCCCCTCCCTTGGCATGTAAGACGGAATCCATCGGGTCATTCTGGCGCGGAGCACGAATAGGAAAGGTTAGGGAGGGGGACATCCCTGTCAAACAAAGTTTCCCCGTGGTTCTTTGTGTGTCTGGTTGTTCGAAAAAGACACATACCAGTAGACTAAATATATTAGTAGCATAAATGATGTCCGCATGTAAGCGCCAAGACCCACAGAAAAATCCCACGCGACGGTTGTGGTGCTTACCTTCGCCTTGCTGCTTCTGGAATATGCATCGATGCTGCAGACTGGAGAAGATATATTTCTTCTCTCCAGATTTCCTCCGGGCATGATGATGCAACTTCATAGTTCTACATACTACCCTGCATGTGTGCTCCATAATTCAAAGTTCGGGTTCAGCTTGGTTGCACAGGTCGTACAGATTGCACAAAGATGCAGCGGGTGACGTGCTGGGTAAACGGTGGTGGTGATCAAAACCGCCACCAGATACTATTCAAGAACTGACCGGAAGGCTGGTGTTCCGGGCCTCCGTTTCCTCTTTTTGAAGGGGGAATCGAACAAGGCTGCCAATTCCCTCTAATAAAGTACCTACTAGTGACTCGACCTGTGTCGGGGACGGCAAGATCGGCGAGAAACTAGGCATCTATGTTACGCTGAAACCAAGTCACATGCACGGAAGAGGAACGAATTCGGTAGTTCTGCCAGCAGGTCAAAGCCTGATCGATGTATGTATATCAACTCCTGAAATCTATTTACAAAGTCTATGTCCGTATAAAACCATAAAATATGCCAAATAATTAAGCGCTCTCGACATGCTCCTGGGGGTCGTTCTTCTCGAACGCTCCATCCTTCATCTCGTGACGGAACCGTTCCTCTTCTTCTCTCAGCTGCTCCTTGAGTTTCTCGTTCGCCCTCCAGATCGGCTTGATCTTGAAGAGCTGGTCGACCGCCTCCAGTGGGATACCACTGGTCTCGGGGATGAGGAAGAATGCGAAGAACCAGGCGAAGAAGGACAACGACGCGAAGAAGAAGTACACGCCGTAGCTCATCGCAGCGAACATCTGCTCGGTGAAGCGAGAAACAAGGAAGTTGAAGAGCCAGTTACTGGCCGTGGTGCAAGCCTGAGACAGCGGACGAATGTTGGGATCGAAGAATTCCTATTCATGAACAGTTAGCAAGGTGTTCATAAGAGACCCCGCTTGATTGGAGTAGAGGAAACTTACCGAGTTGATGACCCACGGGGTACCGTTCCAGGTGGGGGTGTAGACAGCAGTCCACAGGTAGAAGAAGAAGATGGCAGCAATACCTCCGCCATTCAGGTGGTCCTGGGGATGTTTGGTCGGTTCGACAATGTAGATGTAGGCACCAATAGCAAACATGCAGGCGGATCCGCAGACGGCACCACACAGGAGAAGCTTCCGACGTCCGAACTGATCAACCAGGAAGAGCAGCCAAATAACGGTGAAGACGGCCTTGACGACACCGAAAATACCGTTGAGAATACCCTTCGTGTTGCCAGTAACACCGAGACTGGAGAAGATGGTCGGGCTGTAGTAGTTGATGGCGTTAATACCGGACGCGTTCTGCCAGAAGAACAGCATGCAACCCAGGAAGAGGCGGTACTGCAAGCTAGGCGCCTGGAAGACAGCCCTGAAGGGCTTCCAGAAGCCCAGACCAACAGTAGCAACCTGCTCCTCAATGGCTTGGTCAACAGTAGCCACCTCCTCGGTGATGTAAATATCGTTTTCATCGAGTTGACGAATCCAGCAGAGGTTCTTCATGGCTTGCTCGCGACGACCCTTGAGGAATAGCCAACGAGGGGATTCCCTCATCCACAGGGAGCCGAGGAAGAGCATACCCGACGGGATCAATTGAACAGCAAAGGGGATGACCCATTGCTTGTGGTCTGAGGGCATAGTTTGTTCAACACCATACTGTAGAAAAGGTCATCAGCATTGGCACGTGACACAATAAAGAAGGCAACAATGGGGAGAGATGGAAGAATTTTAAAAGTAGAGTAAAGAAAAGTTGGAAAGCCACTTACGTTGATCCAAAAACCAACCATACCACCAACCTGCCAGCCAAGTTCATAGAAACCGACCAGTCGGCCTCTGATGGCCGGAGGGGCCAGCTCTGACAGGTAAATCGGGACGACGTTGGATGCCACACCCGTGCCGAGACCGGAAAGGACACGGCCAGCGTACAAGATGCCGAGCCCACGAGAGCCGTTGGCTCCCATCTGCAACCCGGAACCGAGAATGAAGACAGCCGAAGAGATGGTCAAACTCCATTTACGTCCAAAGAAGTGAGAAATTCCATAAGTGAGCAGAGCTCCGAAGAAAGCACCAGCAATGAACAAAGAGACAATATTTTCACTGATCAGATCCACGGCCGAATCACTCATTTTGTCCAACCCGAACTCGGCTTCAAAGGAAGGCAGAGTGATTGTCGTCCCGATGAACCCACTGGTATACCCAATCATGTTGGAACCACATGAGGCAATGAGGGCGAGTACATAGACTCGCCAATTGTAGACATTTTTGGGAGTCGGACGGTCCTCAACGAGGTGAAGAATTCCACCCATTGTATGGGAGAAGAGGGAGGAGGAGGAAGGAGGAGAGGGAGGAGAAAACTCTGATGACCGTGAAAAATCCCGTCAACAGGAGAATGAACAAGGACAAGGACGAAAGAAGAATATAAGGGGGTGTCCTGTCAACAGGAAAGATGGATGGGAAAAAAGAAGAAAGAGAGGACAGGCAGAGACGGGCCGGGCCATAAGTAATATCTTCGGATTCCTACGAGTTCTACGGAGCAGCCAGAATGTGGATACGGATTTCTCCCCTGCCTCGAACGCTCTCCACAATCTACGTCGTGGCCAAACCCCATCCGGGGAGGACCATTCTGGAGATACAGAATAGCGAGGCTGTGATACGCCGAAAATGCAGCTAGAGGTACTTAATCTTCGGACTATGCAGAAAGATTCCCACAATTTTTGCCCCCGTGATGTGGGAGAATGGGTCGGGGGAGTGTTTTCCCCAGACGTTGAGTCTCGCTTAGCCGGCGCGGAGAAGGTCTCGCCAGGAAACATTCAGCCGCAAATCAGGGGCCAAAACGCAGGAAGTATATAAGGGCCGTATCCCCCCAGCTAGCTAAGGCGTTTATCCGAGTCAGTGTGTATATAACAAAATGTATACCCCAGTGGGTGGGGGAGAAGAACAGTTCCACGACCTGATGCCCCGTTGCGCCTGCGGTTTAGTTTACCCATGTTGAAAGTAGGTTGTGAAGAATTTGCCGGTGGGCCACCTGAAGTGTCCAACCAAATGCTGACCGGCCTTGGAGGGGCAGAGCTTAGAGCTGAGGCGTGAAGGGGTATTGGCGACCCGACAGATCGCCGCCCTGGACAGCACATTCTTTCTCCCGGTTCAGGTCGGCACCCGGACGAACCAGATGGAAGATGATTCTGTTGAGAACCAAGGAATTCGGATTCCAGGTTCCACAAGCTTAAGCGAGAGGCCGGAGGCTTTGGGATACCCGAAAGGCTTTAGCCGGCATTTGTCCAACATGTTAGTCAAGGTTGTCACGGGATAATGGGACTCGTGGCTCTCATGGAGTCAGGTAAGACCAGTCAGAGAGGTTGGGAGAGGCCTTAACCCAATCCTGGTGGAGATTAGGGCCGGAGGATAGCCGAGACGTGTAAAGATTGGTGCCGATCTAGACTAAGTACGCCGTAGATCGGAGTCAGATGAACGGGTAGAGGACGTCTAGGGCCGGCTGGAAAGCTTTACCCCGGCTCACCGGGGATGGGGATGGGGAAGACCTGCATATCAAGCGCTAGTTATCGTAAGCGTTGGAGAAGATGAGGAGGCGACGGCGAGGCGAGGCGACCACCCAAGATAACAAAGTAAAGTAGGCGAGTCTAAACCCAGGCGGGAAATCCACACGATGTCTGGTCACGGGTGGTACACTAGGCTGCCTGCAGGCTTAGTGGTAGCGCTAGCCCAAAGAGGTCTAGCCGTCAGCTGACCGGGTGTCCCTTTACACGGCGGGGATTCGCTTTCGACCCAAGGACCCCTACAGCCCGGCTCATGAACGATACTCCGCGTCTTCTGGAAGCCCAAATGCGGAGTCTCCGCATCTGGCTCATTTATTATCGCAAGCCTCGCCGCATTATGATGCTAAAGGGATGATCCTGGAACTTTTTCTGCGACTACGTGTGCCATGACGCAATTGCTGGCGGGCTAGCTTGACATCTTAACGTCGTGGGCAATGCGCACCCGGATCGTCCTCAATAGTCCGCCGGGTAAAGAGACACAGACCACGATGGCTGCCTCGCTAACGGTCATGACCAGCTAGCTAGTTACTAACCTTGGTGACGACTGATAACAGTCAGACCGCTGACAAACGCTCCTCTGACCAGGGGCCAACGATTCCCCGCATCCCGGACATGCCGGAGAATGAGATATCCAACATACATACCTGTCACATGCACACTAACATTATAATGCCGCGCTGCATATGCATAGCTGACTAACCGGAATCAAGCTCCCCGGCACATCCGATCACCAGCGAAACACAATCATATCAATCAATCCGCGATCAGACCATCCATCCAGACCATCCCTATCCCTATCCCCTGCCTGTTACGATCCCCAGGTCACACAGATATCACTACATCCAATGCCTCGGACCAATTGACCAATATGCCCAAACTTTCCCTCTCCACCCTCCTCACCTCCCTCTTCTACCTCCTTCCGCTCTACCTTTTCGTCATCGCTCCCCTCCTGCGCCAACTCTTCCCGGTAACCCAGGACATCTTCGACCCAGACATCGACGCAACAACAGAAAGCGACATCTCACTGGACCCCGAGATTCTCAGCCTCCCGGACGGAATCATCCCAACATGTCCCGAAGACACCTACCGAGTCCACCTGCTCTCCAAGGACCCGCTAATCATCTACATCGAAGATTTCCTCTCCACCTCTGAAGCCGATCACCTAGTAAAGATAAGGTCCGTCCAAGACATCCCCATTGTCATTCCCCACAGCCCCAATCCCCAGTCTTCGACCCAGCCTAACCAAACAATGCGGAAAAATCTAAAGTGAACCAAACTACTCCCCCTCAATAATCTACAACGGCCAAACCACCAAAGTCGACCCCTCAACCCGACTCTCCGACCGCGCCCTTCTCCCCCGCGACAACACCGTCCGGTGCCTCGAATCCCGCGCCGCCGCCTTCCAAGGCTGGAAACCACACCTCTACATCGAGCGCATGTGGGCCCAACGCTACAACGTCTCCGGCCACTACAAGCACCACTTCGACTGGGCGGGTTCCGTCGCCCGTGGCGGCGACAGACTCAGCACCTTCATGGTATATCTAGGCGATGAGTGCGAAGGCGGGGGCACGAATTTCCCCCGTCTGAAGATGCCGCGCGGAGAACAGTGGTGTCGGTTCCTGGACTGCGAGATGGCTCAGAACGAGAATGTGTCTGGAATCACCTTCAAGCCTATCAAGGGGAATGCCATCTTCTGGGAGAATCTGAGATCTGATGGGACGGGGTATCCGGAGACATGGCATGCTGCGTTTCCGGTCACTCAGGGAATGAAGGTCGGGTTGAATATTTGGAGTTGGTATCAGCCGCCGTCTAGGGGGAGGAGGTAAGTTCGGTGACCGTATCTGTTTTTTGGGATATATTGGATAGAACGCCTGGGTTTGTATAGAATTGTGTATTATCTGTGCCGTGTATTCTACTTAGTTGTATTTTGGTACAATATATAGCTCGTAGGTATATAGACAGCTACTAGCAGTATGAAAATAGACAAGTCAAACGGAGAATAATTCATTAAAAATAGCATTATGGAACATATGCCTTGCCAACGCCATCCATACGCCATCCCTCATCACATGAGCCTCATAGCCAAAAACCAAACGCATACACATGGGTATATAACATTTTCTTTTCATCATTCAGCCACCAACATTCATCCATTGAGTCCAATCATCGCCCAATCCGCCTGGGCGGCACGCATCTCCATTTCCAAAAATATCGTCCAACGGAAGACCCAGGTCCAACCCCATGCCCAATCCCGGGGCATTGTTATCGTCCATACCTAAGCCGAACTGTCCGAGGTTTGCAGCCGTAGGGGGAACAGTCGTCTCCGCAGTGAAGTTCTGTGGCTGGAAGTTATATCCTTGCCATAGGAAGTTCTGGTTAGGCAGGGAGACTAGGTCGGGGCTGTTGACAGCCTCGCCGCTGTTGATGGGAGTTGAGGCGTGGGAGCCGGGTGACTGTAGTTGGGATGCATTCATTGGTTGGTGGTTTGCTAGGCGGCTTGAGATGCTGTTGTTGATGCCGCCAGGTGCACCGGAAAAGAGTGAGAAGTTTGCGAAGCCATCTACGGCCGGCGACGAGGCCGCGAGCGTGCTGACACCGTTGTGATCGGCTGTGGATGCCATTCCCGATGCATACTGAGTGGTGACTGGCGCACCGGTCACATCTTGGAAATGGTCGTTTTCCAGAGTCGACATGGGTTGCGTCGGATAGGCAAACGGATCGTCCGAGGGGAACATGATAGGCATGAGATCGGGGAAGTTACCGGGGTTTCCAAAGGCCTGTGCGTTAAATGCATTTGCGCCCGAGTCTCCGGATGGCAATGACGTCGAAACAGGTGACGCTCGGGTTGAGACACTATTGGTCGCAGTCTCCGAAGGCGTTGATACCGCTTCAGCCGGAGGCTCCGGGGTGGACGGAAACCACATCGGAGGCTGACTATGACGGGGGTTGGTTGCAACATTGCGTGTTGCAGCGCTATCATCTAAGCTCTTCGGCGTATTACTGGCCTCCGATTTGGTCGACCGATGTAGCAGCTGATTAGGGAAAGTGCTGGCCCGCTGCGGCGGTGGCATCCCCGAGGGCATGGTTGAGCTTTTATTGGCCGACGCTCGACCGCTGCTGGAAGGCGCCGGACGCTTGAGGTTCGCACGGGCGGTCGCACTTTGCCGGTTCTTGAGCAGCTCAGGAAGGTTTTTGAACAAGCAGACTAAACTCTGGGAGCAACGATCTGCTGCCATGCTCTTCTTTGCCAGGCCAGCAAGTGTGGTCTTACCCTCCATGGCGTCCTTGAGAACACCGTCTTTCGCCGTTGGAGAGTCCGGATTCTCAAGAACGAAGAACAGGAGTGACAAAATAGCGAAATACGTGGTGTACATAGTGAACCAGAAAGAGCCGTTTAGGAGTCCTCTTTTGTGCATGCCAGTCGTGATGTGGACGATGTTGCGAGAAACACTGACACACGCCGCTGCACAAGCGTAAGAACGACGGTCCACCCCCCGAGCCTGCGAGCCGCTGGAGACGTAGTGTAGGAAGGGTCGGTATAGCATCACCTGAACGTGGGCGTAGCTAATACGCAGCAACTGCCGGATCCTGCAGCACAATTAGAATAGATCGCTACCAAATCCACTCTAGAAGACATACCGCTCTACTTGCGGAGAGACCTCCGTTCCCGGACGCAGTGCTGCTGGCAACTCCTCCATCCAAGCTTGAAGATCTCTTTCAATCTCCCGAATCTTGGAGTGGCTGACCACATATCGTTGATCCGATCCAGCCCGATGCTGAGCGTTCTTCACCGGGTAGATGTACTTCACCACTTTGAGGATAATGCTGGACAAGCGCGTATGCGCATTAGCTCCGGCCATAAGAGGTATGTAATCAGAGGGCATAGGCAGAATGCCGTCCTTAGCAATGAACTCGGAATCAACCGACGCTGGGAATTCCTGATCAATGTCGTCGTCGCTCAACATCAAAGGAAGACCCAACATCGTGCTCACGTAGACGTCCATCTTTCTTATGACCCAGAAGACACGTTTCCGCAGCTCCTGCTCAAGCGGGCTGAAATGCGCCGTCACTTTGCGATGCAAGCCGAGTCGCAAGGCGGACCGGAGGGCAATACCCACGTAGGAATAGCAAGTACTCAGCTTGGCAGAGGCCTGTAGGAAGAGTACCATGAAGCAAATCGCCTGCAGGGAGGTTAAATCACGGCAATCAGTGATCTCCAATAACTGTTGACCTGCTTTGAAGTATTGAAAGCTAGGATAGATTAGCTTATTGCAATTCAGATGGCCCTTGTTGGGCCATGAGAGAGACATGAGTGACTTACCCTTGACCAATGGCACCCTCATAACCAGCAACATCAAGAGGATTTGCCCCACCATCGGAGAACAGGCAGCCGACCGCAATAACAATGTAGAGTAGCGGCAGGAACGAGTTTTCTTCGTTGGTGAACTGATCAGGCGAAGTATCGTACACTCGATCGAACATGGCGAAGAAGGAGGGTTCGTGCGCGAAGCGCATCAGTGCGCAGCCATCATCAAATGCACTGTGACACAGACGTCGTGCAACTTCCCGTGGGGGCAGGTCATGAGTGGGGGGCAATGGCGCATCCTGCGGTGATTCCGATATCGATTTAGGGCTGTCAAACTTGGATTGGGTAACCGGTCGCGACCGGATCGTCGGCGGCTGTATGTCGGAAGCACCAAGCTGCTTGCGCAGTCGGCGGATGAAGCTCATGCCCGAGCTGTGACCGTGGTAGTCCCAGTGACCCTGGTCGTCCAGATCTAAATAGCCAGAATTGTCGACCATCGACTCGAGAAGCGACTCGTCGCCTCCATTCGCATCCGCTGTTGAGTCGGAGGTGCCCGTCATGACAACCGAACTTCGGCGCCTCTCGCTGGGGGTCGCAAGCGATGCCGCTGGTGGTGGTTGCTGGGATTGTTGTTTTTCTCGCTTGATAGCTGCCAGCATCTGCTCTGTGGCATGCACATCGAATTGGGGATCGTCCAGGTTCAGATCGGGGAGCACAACGCGGAGCAAGGCCTCCGCCTTGTGTAAACGATTTTCCAGAGCTTCGACATATTGAGGGGCGGGGTTGCGACGACGGTTAGACGGTTGATCATACGTGCATTCTATGGAGCGATTTCCGTGAGCATGAATTGATTGACGGCGACAAGCAGATAATCGAGGTTTTGACAACTTACCATAACTGTAGACGGTGCAATGAGTACACGGCTGCTTCCCATCGCACTTGATCTTCTTGCGACGACATTCATCGCAAGCGCGCGTCACCCGACGCCTCTTCTGCATAGGGAGGGAGTCCTTCACAGGCTTGCCATCGCCCAGCGCATCATCCTTCATCATCAAGTCATGGCCCGGGGAGGCATCGTGATCTTCATGAGCATAGAAGAAAGAGTCGGAAGCGGCCGAGGGATCATCCTCGTTCGCATTGTCGGCATGCGCCGGACTGGGAGCGGAAGCCATGAGGGGAGCGGAGGGGACAGCAGGAGAGATCTCAAGGCGGTCGGCGCAATGGCATGCAAGGGGGTATGAGGAGGATGTGGAACTGATTGATGGGTTGATGCACGATAGTCGACAGGAGACTAATCCGATCAGCAAGGAGAAATAGCCCGCGTGGCGATCCGACCGTTATCGCAATCTCCACGAGGGTAGAAATGACGCTTCTCACAGGTTCATGGAAGGCACGGCGAGGATTCTAGTTAGCTGGAGAGATTGATCGGAGGGGACCAATCTTAAAATCCAGGAAGAGTTGATGGAAGAGGATGCGCACGGTTGAAGTCGCTCTGGTCCTTGGTGGGCTATTCTTCGCTATTTTTGAGTAGTTAAATGTTTTTGCCTCTTGTTATGCTTTTGGTGGCTTTGGAACGGGAGTTCCTTGGAGATGACGAAGGAAATGTTCTGGAGACTGGAGTAAGCCCCGAATTAGTCAGAATTGCGTTGCAAGAACTTTCGTGAGTCAAGACGGTGATCCACTCCCAGTCGCACGGAAATAGTAACCAGGACGGGCAAGAATAAAGAGGTCTAATGCGCAACACCAGGCCCAAACACAATTGGGAAGACTGGGGATGGCTGTTCAGGCTTTTTCTTGTCCGCGTGTACAAAGTACGAGGGGAAGAGGGGAAGAAGGCGGAATTGGGGGGGGGAAGCAGTTCAAAAGCAGATACGGAGGATTTTGCAAGACTAGGTAGGGTAGGGGGGAATATACAGTATGGTTTCTCCAAATCGGAGAAAAGAAGAAAAAAAGAAAAATCAAAGTTAAGTTAAACAAGCTTAAGCCCACAAGCCAACAAAGTGGAAAAGCGAGGAAAGGACTCGAGTAAATCGCAGTAGTGATGAGCGTAGAAGAGCGATGATGGAAAAGGAATGAATGGATGGGGACGAAGACGGACAAGACGGGCAGATCCACCGATGCGAGGTGATGGTGTGGCCCAGACCCTGTTTCCGATTGGGGGGATTTTAACAACGGCACCAGGGCAAGTGCGAAAAAAAGAAAAAGATATATATGCACTAGGGGATCAGCACAAGAGAGAGATCTCGCGCGAAAAGATGCTCGGATATGGTCCAAGAATTTCCTATTCGAATAAAGTCCGGGTATGAATCATCTGTGTGAGAGGAAGAAAGAAAGAAAAAGTATAATAGCAGAATTAACAAAAAATCGCTCACAAGTAGGGCTGATCTAGAGCCAACCGGCTGTGACAAGCGGCTGGAAGCGCAACTTGAGCCTGCTCCTGTGCCCGTGACGATGCCGCTGCTTCGGACCTCCGATACAAAATTTTCCCTTTTCCTACATACTCCATTGGACTAGCTGGGAAAGCGGCTTAGTAGTAGTAGCAGCAGCAGCAGTAGCTCGGCGTATTGGCCAAACCGGCCGATGACTGCCTCGGTTGCAGAAACAAGCCTCAGAACCCACGGTGATTTCGCTGATTCGATCATTCCCGATGGGTACCCTGATCCATGGAACCTGCAGCAACATCGATGAGA